AAACTAATTTGGATGGCGACTAATGGAAATGTTGTTAATATCACTTTCGATGATCCAATACTGTCAGCAAAAGTTGTTTTAGATAATAACACTAGTAAAATTATAATTTTGGATGAACTGGAAGCAGTTCTGTTAAACAAAAATAATTATAGAAAGATAAGAAATAAATTAGCGAGAAAAAGTTCTATTGCAATTTACAAGAAGGTACCTTAAATAATCGATATATTTTAATACTCTCAAAAATTTGAAAATCTGAGCCGAGAAAATCACTAATTAAGTTTTTATTAATAATCATATCATTTATTTACTTATTTTATTATTTTTTAAACAAAGGAAATCGATGATAGTATTTAAGCAAATGCAAATATAATTGAATCTGATATTGCAAAAACAGCTCAACAGATAGAAAAACAACTAATAAATAAATGTTTTAAGGTTTCGAAAAAAAATCAAGTGAGGAATTTTCTTGTTTATATTCAATTATTGCTTTTTAAATTTGGGTCTTGATATCTGAGCATTTTTACTACTACAAAATTTATATTTGCGAAAATATTCTTAAATATCCATTAAACTATGAAGAAAGCGATATAATTATTAATAATTTGTATAGCAACTTAATATAGTAGATATCTTATTTTTAGTAACAAAAATAAATTTTTAGAACCAATCGTATAATGCAATCGAAAAGAATCAAGGAAATGAAAATCAAGTTTTGGACCCTAATTTTCAGGTAAATTGATAACTGGGTATTCAAATCAAAAAAGGATTATTAGATAATATTAATATAAAAAATTTTAAAAAGCAATTGAACACATCAGAAATAATGATTGAAGAAAGTGTAGCTCAAAGCTCTAGCTTTGATATAGATGAAGACAATGCAATTAAAGAATCAAACCTTTTAGATGATACAGGCGCGTATCTGTTTCTGTAAAAAAATCTTTAAACTATATATTAAGAATTTATTAGCAACTTTAATATATATGTCACTTTTAGTATTAAAATAAAAAAATTTTAGAACCCATTTAATGCAAATAAAAAAAGTCAAGAGAATGAAGCACAAGTTTTGAAATCTAAAGTTCAGGTAAATGACAATTGGGTAACCATATTGTCAAGTCAAAAAAAAGAATATTAGTATTGGTTAAAACTGCACTTAGAGAATTACTAATTGAAAAATTAAGGAATATTGAAAACTATATACTGAAACTATATATAATGAAAATATTAAATAATTAAAGGAATCATTACAATATGATAACTCACTATCTGATGAGTATTCAGATTTGGCCGAAGAAGCTAAAGAACAAAGATTTGACACATTAACTTCAATTTTGATGAAAAGTGACTCTATCAATAATGCTTCAAATAAAATTAAGAAAAATAAAACAAAAACTAATAAGATGAATAAATATACATTAACATCATATAGTTTACAGTTAATTGTAGTTAATTGTAATATTTCTAACTTATTCCAAATTAAAGGTTAATTATGATCATGTTGACAATTCTATAGAGCGCATTTCTTCAGATTTGACAAATAATTCTTTACCAAGCATTAGTGAAATATTGGTAAATGTTATAATTAAGTTAATTTTATTAATGATTGTTACATACTAATAAAACAATTTTTCGAAGCCACCTCTAATTCAAAATGATATCGAAAAGGATAGTGATAGGAATGTTAGTAGCAATTATTACCAGCTTGACTTTTTTTCTTTTAATACAGATATTCACTTATTTTTTTTTTTTATATCTTAATAAAGGATGTGCAAGCAATTTCATCAATTATCAACAGTCAAAAAAATCTACTATCAAATAATAATCAGGTAGTAAATTGGCATTATCAATAGTAAATTTGGCGAATAAGAAGTTTAAATATTTTTTATTATTTAAAGCGTAAGCCTGAAACGGAATTGAAAATACATCTTCGTACTTAGTACCAATTGTTTTAGTAGATAATAACTCGATATGAAAGTATGAATTATAATATACAAATTTAATGAATTATTCTTTGCTTATACTATTTATCTTTTGATACGCTATACACTATATAAAATTCTGCATAACGTCATAGGTAATAAATTGGAGAGAAACCACGTGTATAATTCGATTTCATTTTATTATTACATTTATTATAAATTGTGAAAGTTCAACTAGGAAAGTCACTGTTGAGAGTAAAGATTTAAAGAGAAAATGACACCATTCTTCTTCAGAATCTGGTATGATTTGTATTATTACATTATTATATTATGACATAAATAATGATTAATTCAGATTATATTTCAGAAAGTTCAACTAAACACATACAACATATTCCTTCAGAATCTGATTCTAACGATATATATTTTATGACTGTATTTGCAGTATTTAACTAAAATTTAATTAATCTAAATTATATGTTAGAAAATTTTACTGAAGTCACTGTTAGTAAAACTGAAAACAATAAGGCCAAGATTCTTAAAGACAAATTCGATAATATTATGAAACATCAATTAAAAATATATAAAGACCAACTCTTCTCAACAAACTCTTTGATAGAAAATTTTTTTATCACGAATTTAATGATCTTTTTGATTTTGATGATAATAATATTTATTTATCAATCAAAACTATCACTACTTATTTGTCAAAGAATGAATCACTGAATTTTTATCTTCAAGGGTGGAAGACACAATATAATAAACTTAATTCAACAAAGTGTAAAGTTGAATTGAATTTGTTGAAATTGCTATACAAACTCCGAGAACCTTATTTATCACTAATAGTAGATGAATACAAAAATTCGATAAAAATATCTCCTAGTCATAAAACTTTACGCAAGCATGTGTGTGATAAAATAAAATCAATGTTAAACATAGAAATAAGGCAAGAATTAAGGTACTGGATTGGCATCTGGAGACTGATTAAATTGTTTTATATAAATCGTTGTCTAGCAAATATTCTTGTTGAATCTGGTCTCACTTCAAGATATTTATTGAGAACTGAAAATACTAAATATGATCGATTTCTCAAAGATCTCTTAAATGATGACAATGCTTATCATAAGACTCTCGAATTTAATGAGATTTTATTGCAAAAGGTTAAAATGTTAGATTTATAAACATATGACTCTACAGACCTATGGGTCAGTGAAGTCGTGTGATATAACAAATATTTGTATTAATAATATAAAATAATTGGTTTAGAGAAATATTGAATAACATTAATGTGGTTATCAACTGCTTTTTACTCATTTTCTGAAAATTTGGTAAAATAAAATAATTAACAATGAGAATGCTGCAGCAATGTAATTACTGATATATATATATATATATATTTATTTATTTATTTATTTATTTAAATATAAAGATAAACTACACGAAATTAAATATTTAAAAATGATAGTGCCGAAAAAACTATATCAAGCATCCAAATATAATAAATTTTTATCGAAGTTTTGCTCAGTTTTTATTCAATGATTTGCTTATCATGGTATTGTATAATTTCATAGTGATAGTAATTTACAAGAGACAAAATTGGATGTGGAAATACCTGTATAAGAATTTAATAGCATTGACAAATAAAGTTGTATGTCTAACAATACAACAATACATACGTATGTGAAAAAAAACAAGAGTCCAAAACTGCGTTAGAGATAGTAATTTGTATTAATCTATCTATCAATTTTTTTTATTACACTTAGGCAATAATTCTGGGCAAAATCAAACTTTAATTTCAGGCAAAATTAAGTCAAATATTCCTTATTTGAAAATATATTTACAAAAAATGATTCATCGAACAAAGCCTTTTGCAATAGCCCAGAATTATACCTAATTTTGCATGAATACATAATTTGATCTTGCCTGGAGTTATGCCTAGAATTAATTTTGCTTGAATTTATATTTTAAAATTATGTTTACTAGTGTTACAAAATTCAATCCATTTAAATAATACTTATGATAAAATTAATAATTTGGCAGATGAACCAACTAAAAAAAAAAAAAAAAAAATTCGATTGATATAACTGTGAAATTAACTCAGCTTTGTTAGTTTATTTTCTGACGGCCTCTAGTTGCTGTCAGAGAACGAACTGAAATATCTCATTTCTACATATAATCTCACAGACCAAAGAGTCCATGAAATATACGATATTATTAGTTCCAACTAACACTGAATTAATAAATTTTTATTAGTTCCGGTAGTAGGGAATGTATTCTATTATATCATTGGGTTTGTGTTGTTTTCTTATACGCATTGCAAATATGTGATATGTTTGGTTGTTGAGTAAGAATAATAGCTGAACTTCATTTTAAATTTGTCTTTAAAAAATAAAGTTGATAATTTTATTTATTTTATTGTTCTATTGATATATATACCTAATAAACTTGACCAACAATAAGATCAATCATAAAAAAGATTGTAAAAATCACGAATTACATCATTTGTATTATGTTAGTAAATGATCGTCATAATGGCAAATGTGAACTTGTCCTTTTTGAAGATTTGAGGATTTTGGATTCGCTTTAAGATAATTTCAGATATTCATTCATTAATATTAATTGGTTCTTATTTGGATTCATTAAATGGTTTTGTTTATGAGTTAATAGAAATTAAGCATTTTTTTTATAATAATTTTAAACAAGAATAACTTAACAAAAACATGATCAAATTTAATAAAAAATGTTTAACTCGAAAACGTTACTTTAGAAGATTAATTCCTTCTAAAAGTTTTGGAATTTTCTTTAGATAAAAATATTTATTTTGCTTTACTTTATAATAATAACGTACTTTAATGCAATATATAAAAAATATACAGAGTGTAAATAAATTTTTTATTTTTTTTTGATAATATCTATATAAATTTTAGCTTTACTTAAGACTTCCAAAGTAATTACAAGAGATCCGTCATCATTATAATCACACTCATAAATCTCATCTAGTGGTGGTGTAGTAATTATATCATTATATTCACACTCATCATAGATCTCATCTAGTGGTGTAAATGTTTGGCAACAAACTTTGAGGTCCGCTTTATAAAGAATTCTTGCTGCCCTACGAAATTCTTTCCTAATTTTTTTAAAACTATCATTATTCACTCCATTTCCAAGATTCCTTTCTATATTGAAAGGTTCTTCTATACATAATTTCCAACGCATTCAATTCTTTTCTTATTTATTAAAGCATCTTTCTAGCCAAAGAGAAATGATATAATTTTATATTCAAAGTCATATGCAAATCTAATATAAATTACAGTATAATATATTTTATTAATTTAATTAAATAATTAAAATATTCATATATGAATGTCCTAAATGAAAACCTAAAAACCTAAAAATAGATATTATGAAATTTATAATTCTATTTTTAGATTTTTGGGTTTTCACTTAGCAACACTCATATTAAAACTGACTATAATCAGTTTTGACATATATAAAAATAAACCAGTTTTCAAATTCTAGTCTAGTATAATTTACCATTTAAAAAAAGCAAATAATAATCCACCAATCGATTCATTATTTTTGTGACCAACTTTCAACAAATCAATATCTTTATTTTTTCTATTAATATTTAATACTGGTAATATTGGAGAATAATGCATTTGAAGGAAATTCAAAACTATACATGTCCAGGTATATAATAATAGGTTCCACAAGCTACAATATGAATAGAAAAATTACACAATAATTTGGAAACTTATAAATAAAATGTTAAAATCAACAGAATACCAGCATCATTTAATCTTCATATTCGTGCCCAATGTTTTATTGTCATTACTAACGGATGAACTCTTTGATCTAAATTTACATACAACTTTATTAACCTTGTATTAAGCAAGGCCTGAGTATTGTTAACATTGATGTCACATGCTAAATTCTTGCAAATATTTACAATTAGAAACAATTAGATTACAATAAAAGCAATAGCATTAGAAACGAACAGTTACATACAAATTAGGATCCCAAAATTTAACAATAGGTACTTTAGCATTAGAAATACATTCAACTTTTGTCATATTATCTATTTTAATATATAAGATTAATTGCCGTAGTTTACTCTAGCAAAAGAGTTAAACCAGACCAACTTGTCTGTGTTTTACATTATTTCTCTCTACCTTCTAGGGAAGGAGGTGGAGTGGGTTGGGTTTGAATGTTTTATATATAGAAAAATTTTTTTTGCCCTACTTTTCTGAGACAAATTTTCTGTTTAAGATTTCTTGGCCTGTTTAACATACTCATATTTTAGGTTTGTTCACTGTTATATAGAAAATTCCCGGTCATTGTCATTTATAATTATTCTTTATTATAAAAATTTGAAAAGATCTGTGATTATATTAAATTTCTATATAATATAATATTTTTTTTTACTATGAGAGAGAAAGGGGGGATGGTCTAAAAAGAGGAGAAAGGGACATAAAACACAGAATCAAATTG